TACGCCCTAGAGTCTTTTTACTGTTTGTAATGGTTAGAGTTTGAAAATGAATAAAGAGAGTTTTGAGTTGGTCTTGCGAGTACACTCTAGGAGAGACGCAGTCTAGAGTCCAGTCTGGAGAGTCTGAGACGCACGCAGTCTAGGGACAGAGTCTTGGGTCAGCCTTGCGATAGTCTTGGGGACTTTTCTCCAGGGCACTGTGTCTTATAGAGTGCTCGAATTACCGACTAAGACGAGAGTTGAAACGTATTTCGTTGTGTGTGTCTATTTGACTGTAAGGCTAAAGTGACTTTCCCCGATCCCGCACCTCAAGGGAACGAGATATGGAGACAGAGACGAGATTCCCCCTGACACGTGTGGAGAACCCCGAGGAGAAGAATTTACCCCTGATATCTTGAAGCAGTGATTATTTGTGAAGCAAAAGCCGACATAAAATTATTACACTACATGTAGTTAGACGTCATCAAATGTGGGAGTGTTGCATTGTTCCGAGCCGTATTACGACCTGAACAACCCATGATACGCAAACTGTATCGGTTTAGATTAACGGACTGTGCAATGTACATTTCCTGTTCCCGCCCACATGCTTACGAAAATAGTTGCATTCAATTTGGGTTTGCACCGTGACAACAGTCGGAGGTAAACATCAATGAACGGAGATATATTTCATGTATTTTGTTGTCTAAGATCGTTCCTTATTTTTTTGTCTCAACATAACGGAATACTATGCGATGGCGGATGGTCCAGGAGAAGGTATTTAGGGCGATGTATACATGGCCCGGAGGGTACTTCCATATAAGTGCAATACGGGTATGTGCCGCCCGACTGGGATGTCATTTCACGTTTTTTTGTTTAGAAGTGGGTGGTCATTTATCAATGTTTTGGTTAAGAAGTGTGTATCATTTATTTACTTTATCACAGGTTCTTATATTCAAAGCCGGATAATGGAAAAGGCTGAATAAAATGTGTCGCACGGATGCGCTCACTGGTTGCGAAAGTTGTGAGCTGGGTGTTTTTTTTTCGCTAAAAACACTTGGGTTTAGAAGTGGGTATATAAATAGAAAAACAATGTTTAGGAGTGAGTATAGTTTACGAGAGGTGGGCTGCACACCCTTACCCACTTAATGTGGAAGTAGCTGCCCCCAACCCCACCCCGGGATATATAGATCCAAGGCGTTATCAGCCTGAAAGTAGACGTTATTTACAATCGGTTATCCATCGCATACATCGCCATGAATCCGGTCATAGCGAAATGACGTGATGCGACGCAAATTAATGCGCACTTGTTTCAACAAACTGACGAAATAAACGCAAATTATCAGAAACGCAATTCACCTGTAAACAATTACAATT